GACAGGAAGACATGAGGACTTTTTTTTAATAATACTGGGCACAGATGTTTGACACATGTTTGACAACAAAAACACTTCCAAATCTTTGACATGTTAGCTCCATTGTCCCTTTTGAAATGCAGTGATATCTTCTGGGTAATCACATCAGGACCGTAATAGTTGGAGCTGGTTGTTTGCTGTTGCATTTCTTAAATTTAAAGGTCCCAGCATCAGCTTTCTGTCTAACATCTCCCAGCTCATTGGACCAGACACTGCTCAGAACGTTTTGGAATACAGATACTAAAGCTAAAGATGCATCACAAGAATGAGCCGCTCTCATGTCAAAGTAATGAAAAGTCAAAAATGGCAAGGAGGTTTTTGAAGCCCAAACCTGAGAGAACACACCAAACCTTTGCTCTATGGTTTACACTAAAAAGGGTTCCAACCTCTGTCTGAATCAGGCATCACATCAGCAATATAGAAAAAAGCCCCTTTGCTTTGTCCAGTTTTGTTTAAAGTCATAATTAAGTAAACATTAATAAGTTTTAACCCAAAGAACAAATCCATATCTACATACATCTTTAGGTGGTGTGCTTTATCCTGCGTCTCGCCCATAGACTGCCACAGATAGACAGAGGTGTTATGCCGAAAATTGCATGCCTGCGCGCCTCGCTCTGTACAACTGCATATCGACGAGGAAAACGGATTCAAATAAATAGATTTAATGTTGTTCATAACACCCGTACTTTTGTAAATGAATCTGCCAAATAACCACAAATTTTCCCATGAGAGGTATATTTAAACTTTTTTTATATCATTAATATAACAATAAGTAGCTCCATTGGTCATATTTAATCAGTTTTCCTCGTCGATACGCAGTAGTACAGAGCGAGGGCGCTCCCGCGATTGGGGATGCATATCTCGGCAGGCATGCACTTTCCAGCATAACACCTGCCCCAATAAGACCCTGATGGATTAAGCCCGAGAAGAATGATGGAATTTAATCATATGATGGCATTCTTGCTTTCTTGTTTGAAAAAATATATTCTCATTTCAATATGTAAATATAAGATTTGCTTTTTTTTATTTTTGTCACCGTCTTGATGTAGTAAATTGCATGTTCCTCATCTTATATGTCCAATTACTTTCCCTAAGACGCAGCAAACCTTCTGGCAATGGCACGTATTGATGTGCCATCCTGGAGGAGTTGGACTGCCTGCATAACCTCTGTAGGGTCCAGGTAGCGCCTCATGCTAATAGTAGTGACAGTGACCCTAGCCAAATGCAAAACTGGTGAAAGAGTCAGAAGAGATGAGGTGAAAAATGTCAGTGGCCTCCACCTGTAAAACCATTCCTGTTTTAATGGTCGTCTCGTTATTTGCTGGTGCCCCTCTAGTGCACCTGTTGTTAATTTTATTAACAGCAAAGCAGCTGAAACTGATTAACAACCCCTGTGCTACTTACCTGACTAAATCAGTATCCCAGAAGTTTAATTAACTTGCTATATATGATGCTATACTCTGATTACAAAGTGTTCCTTTAATTTTTTTTGAGTAGTGTACATCCCACAACTGTGTGCAAGAAAAATGTAAAATACAGATATATTTTTGATTGACAGCTTGGAATTCTAGACCAAAAATAGAAAAAAAAATATGTCATACCAAGCATTTAAGAGTAAAGTTACATTTAATATTAAAAAAAAAATTCCTCTGGTTAAAATAACGAAAGGGTTGCCAGAAAAAGTATTTCTTGGATATGTATTGTTTATACCTGTAAAGCTATGGTTCATTGCAGTGGTTTCCCTCCTCCACCTGTTGCTGGCTGACAGAGGGCTGTTTTATCTTTTCTCTCCCTTAGAAAAAGGGATATTTTTATGTTTTGAAACATTTTATATTTTCTCATGGTACTAAAACTAAAGGAGCACCTCCATCAAACTCAATGATGAGACTGAAGTTGGCTAGTATTTTGTCTGTTGGGCAGCTGAGTGAAGCAGATATCTGACCGACTAACCTAATATGATCTTATTTGATCGACTTGCTTAGTTGTAATGGCTGATTGTCTAGATTCTAATGATACTGGAAAACTATTCATTGTTCACCAATCATACAGAAAGAATCTCATATCAGCCCATGCCCTTTCAACATCACATAGTTTTGATCAAACATAACTTTAAAACTGGGCTCAGGTTTACTTGTCCTTGTTGGATCTTGCTAAATATTTTACTAAATTAACAAAGCAAACATATAAGTTAATTTCTTGACTTTCAGTTAGGCCTTTTTAACCTTTCATTTTTTTTTTTTTGCATTTTCCATTTCAATATTTGTCGTTTTGGTTCTTTTTTTAATCATGGAAATGATTAATGACATTGTTTATACTACAATGACATTAAATGACAAATGTTTATACTATTTTATGCATCATAAATACAGGATCCCCACTCCAAACTTAATCAGATACAGCTATAAAGCTATATGAGCATCTGGGCTCCGAGTTCCTAGCTCCTAAACTATGACATTGAATTAACTTTTTTGTGTGTGTGGTTACTTCAGCTTTTTCTGTTCTTTATTCTTTAGAAAAGGCAAGTTTTTGACAATACATTCCATTAAAATTTAAAGTCACTATTTTTTTTCTTTTTATATTTCTTCTAGAAAATCAACACATAGGTCTCCTTAACTCTACCTTCTGTTCAGACTGTGAAGAAAAGCAGATTGTTTAACTCAAAGACAGGAAGACATGAGGACTTTTTTTAATAATACTGGGCACAGATGTTTGACACATGTTTGACAACAAAAACACTTCCAAATCTTTGACATGTTAGCTCCATTGTCCCTTTTGAAATGCAGTGATATCTTCTGGGTAATCACATCAGGACCGTAATAGTTGGAGCTGGTTGTTTGCTGTTGCATTTCTTAAATTTAAAGGTCCCAGCAACAGCTTTCTGTCTAACATCTCCCAGCTCATTGGACCAGACACTGCTCAGAACGTTTTGGAATACAGATACTAAAGCTAAAGATGCATCACAAGAAGTCAAAAATGGCAAGGAGGTTTTTGAAGCCCAAACCTGAGAGAACACACCAAACCTTTGCTCTATGGTTTACACTAAAAAGGGTTCCAACCTCTGTCTGAATCAGGCATCGCATCAGCAATATAGAAAAAAGCCCCTTTGCTTTGTCCAGTTTTGTTTAAAGTCATAATTAAGAAGCATTTAAACCGCAAATTTGAAAGCTATTTTTTCACCAATCCAAAGAAAGTGTGTTAAAGTATATTGAAATAAAAAAAAAGGAACAGAACTGAGAGTCTAAATTAAAGCAATAAAAAGGGAAATTTTTACACAGGTCAATCTAATAATATCCATTATTGATAATGAGAAATAATTGGCCTAGATCTATAGTGCCTTGGAAATACAGTCGTGGATACATCCCATGTCCCCTTTGCACATATTTTGTCCTATCAAGTTCCAGCGTTAGCATGTAATAAATAAATAAATGTAAAGCATATTAAAAAATTAACAGCCTGATCAAACATTGATCAGTAACTGATGTCAAGTAGCAGAGCAGCTTCAGAATTTTACAGACATTGTTGTTCTTTTGAAAAGAGCGGTTAATCTTCTTTTTCCGTCACAAAGGAAAAGCAAGAACCGATCTGGTAGAAGTGGTGTTATAAAGAGATTATGATTACCAACAAGTTGCGTCATTTCAAAAAGAATGTCTGTCTCACGCTACCATGAGTGTGAAAACCCCATCAACATTCAAAAGTGGTCAAAAAAATCAGCCAGAACGCAAAGGTACTGAGATTTGCTCTGTAAACGACTAGGACACTGGAGCTCCAACAGAATGGTTTGGAATGACTAGAAGAATCCAAGGAAAAGTCTGTGATTGACAATCCCGTTTAGCGACATTTGAAGGAGTTAGGAGGAGGATGAAGAGCTTTTAAAAATCAGTCTAAACGAGGTTAAATGCAAATGTATGACGGAGTAATAGGGCCAGGCTAGAGATTTTTTTTCTTCTATTTCGAGAATAAAGTTGTAAAATTACGAGAATAAAGTCCCGACAAGAATAAAGTCGTAACATTACGAGAATAAAGTCGTAAAATTAGGAGAATAAATAAAATTATGAGAATAAAGTCGTAAAATTATTAGAATAAATAAAATTACGAGAATAAAGTCATAATATTAAGAGAATAAAGTCCTAAAATTATGAGAAACAGGAAGCACTTTCTTCTCTAAAATGAGGAATGTTGAGCATCATGTGAATTTACACTTTGGCTGTGGTTTGACAAATAAGGGAATTTTTAGCAGGATGTCAAAGTGGCCTCAGGTTGCTGTTTGGTGGTGCTAGTCGGCCATCATATGCTGTTTCTGCTAGAATTAAAATGTGTCGTTTTATTTTGCCACAGAAAACAGCAAAGCAAGCACATCAATCAAGGCACAGTGCTGAATAAAATTTATATTGTCCCCCTAACGTGACACAAGGATCGGAGGGCTGGTCGATCCCGGCAGGGCAGCAACCCACGCAGCTAGGCGTCCGTACGCAACCCTAGCAGACCCCACCGGTGTCAACAAGCCCCCGCGATTTATGCCACACTTCAAAGTAAAATCTTTCACCCAATCAGGAAAAGTGACCGCTCCCTCTCATGCCTGGAGCGCATGATTACAGAAACCAAAATATGGAACCGGCGTCCCCCGAACCCACCCAGGGCTCGTGGACAGCCGAAACCAAAAACAAAATTACATAATGATCAGATACAAAAACAAGTTACATCATGCCCAGTACCTGGTACCAATCACTGCTTCATCTGTTACCTCCCCAGAGCTACTGACCCTCCCCAGAGCTCATGGACACAGTGTAAAAAAAAAACATGTTCCTGCTTCGATACAAACTTATATAAAAAGAGTACTTCATTTGTGATACAAAACTTGTATGATTGTCAAAGAACATAAAATATAAAACCCATATATATATCAATAAAAAAAATCTCTAGCCTGGCCCCAATCCGTCGTACAAATGCATAAAAAAAAAATACATAAAAAAAATGGACAGGTAGTCTATCAGCTCAGTGCATGTTCTCATCAGAGAAGGAACTGGAGCTGCCTGAATCAGACTCAGCATCCGTTAGGATATCTGGGTCCCAGTCAGCACTGGAGCCGCTGTCATCGTCCTCCTCTGTGGAGAATCTGTGACCGGACCGCAGGAACGCTGGGTACACACGCGTCGACACGCACACCGGTCCCATAGCGGACACGTAGACTGCCATGAGGTTCTTCCATGCGTCCCGGTTGGGGTCGTACTCGTGGATGAGGACCCTGTCCCTGTTGTTCCGGTGCAACATGTGCGTGAGCAGCAACAGCTTCCCTCTGTGCTGGATCACCTGGTAGTTCACTGCTCCGTTCTCCATGGGAATGTCCCCAAACCTCTTCCACTCCCCTCTGGTGGGGCTGTAAGCTTTAATCACGGGGATGTCGCACACGCAGACGATCTGCTCCTGGAAGATGCAGGCCTTGTGAAGCTTGTCTCTCCTGAGTGATCCGCATTGAAGCCAGTGGTTCTTCTTGGGGTCGTAGCAGAGCATTCTCCTTTTGTTGAGCACGTACAGGTGATCATTCACAGCCACCACTTGCATTTTACCCAAATAGTGAGGCAGAGGCGCCACAAACATCCACTGGTTCCTTTGGATGCTGTAACACTCCACCTCCTTCAATCTGATATCTGTAACTGGATTTCTTCCTCCCAGAAGATAGATGTGACCATTCAGATAGACCATCCCAGCGTGGATTCTGCCCAGCAGCCTCTCTGCCAACTCCTGCCATCTATTGAGGACAGGATTATACACCCAGAACTGTTTGGAAAGGTGGGACGTTAAATACAAGCTGTTATCAGGCGTGGAGCAAGCGATAACAGGCGCTGTATTGGAGCTTTTGTATTCTTGACTAGTGAAAGGCACGGAAGCCGGAGACATGATATAAAGATCCTCTGAGTAAGGTTCGCAGCACATTATGACTTCGTTAGGCCGGCCAAAAAAGAGAATCATCTCTTTTGCACTCACACCTATCCTGTGTTTTTGCACGTCCAGAGGTGCGGGCACCTTGCAGCCCCCCTCTGAAGACGTCCTGAAAAAGGATGACAGGTAGGTCTCCATCAGAGGCCTCTCTTTGAGGCTCTCCAGGTCCTCCTCGCTGAACAGGCTCCAGCGCACACACTTCAGCACCTGCAGAGCTTCTTCTTTATCCACCGCTGCATTCCCCTCCAGCCACTGAACAGCTGCTGAACACACAGTCTTCTCGCAGTCCACGTCCAAAGTATCCAGAGACAGCAGCTCTTTAAATTGATCCGAGTTCAGCTCGCAGAGGTCTCCAGCGTTACACACCTGGGTGAAGTTCCTGGCTATGAACACCTGGGCGTTCTTCTTCAGCTCCGGGTTGTTGTAGGTGTCTGCGAGCTTCAGCATCGCCACACAGTTGGAGGGATCCAGCCTCCTGCTCATGAAGTCGGTACAGACTCTGCTGATGTACTCCAGCTGCAGCATGTTGGCCGCCGCGTACAGCCTCTGCACGTTGCTCTCCGTGATGGTCACCCTGCCTGTGTAGCAGTAGTCGATGATGACCGACATGGACTCAGAGTCCACGCCGCGGATGAGGACTCTCTCCTGGGCGCTCTCGGTTAACCCGCCCGTGAACATGCTCTTGAAGTACGGACTGGCGGCGGCCAGGACGTTGCGGCTACAAAGAAACAAATGGCCAACCTCAACCCCTTCTCCTCCTCTTCCTCCGCTGTGCTCCGGTGACACCTTCTCCTCCGCCTCCTCTTCACACTCGACCCCTATGGTAACGTCGCCCAGCAAACGGCAGTCGTACATCTTTTTAAGCTCGTTCATCAAACCCCGAGCGTGGTTCGCGTCCTCAAGCACTTCCGGTCCGGCGAACAAACCCAGCGATGAGGCCATTACTGGACCTTCCAGAGTAAAACTCGCACCGTTAAAGCCCGAATTACGCGCTGTCCGGCAAAAAACAAAACTGCTTTTATCATCTGGTGGATGATTATATTCTTCTTCTTGATTTTTTTATGGCGGTTGGTAAAAAAAACGTTAGGTAAGCATTACCGCCCCCAACTGGTAAGGAGTGTGTATCGCATGGCAAAAAACAAACAAACAAACAAAAACTATATCCTGTTATACAATTTAGTCTGTTTCAAAAACTCAAATATAACCTGATATCCTCTGCTTCCTGATTCATTTTGCAGTAAATCAATAATACCAAATTTCCTAATTAACTTGTTTCTCTGAATCAAATATTTCCTACAACCCAAAATAACATGTTCCACTGGCTCATCTTCCCTGTCTGATGTTGCCCTATTAAAAATTTTATAGAACCACCTTCCTTTCTTTTCTTCTTCCCATAACTTTTGCCACCTCTCTTTTGTTTTTTGTTTCTGTTTAATTATACCCTTTATTTCTGTTATACTAAAACTTTAACATTAACTTTAAACAATAATATCTATAATTACCTTATTTGTACTCTCCTTACCTCCTCCTCCTTCTTCTACCTCTGTTAGTTTAATGGCATTTTGCAACATATGTATATATACATATTTTAAATCTTATTGTATAATCCTATATTCTTATGATACTTAATAACAACTTTCTGTATTTTCTGTATACTGTATCCCCTCTCCTGTTGCTCCTATTAATCCTTCCAGATTCCACTCCCTTCCTATTTGTCTTTTTTTAATCTTATCCTTTCTTTATCATATTTCCTACAATTTAGTAATATATGTTCTACATTTTATATTACTTTACATTCTATACACTCATCTGTTAAGCTCATTTAAAAGACTAAAACAACCACAACATTTTAAGAACATTAAGACTGGTTTATAGTCACATTACTTGCTCTTTAGAATGGTTTGAAATAATGTCAAAGAAATAAGATTAGATATCTTGAGTTCAGACTGGAAATTATTCCCTCCTAGAGGAACCTGAAAGTTTTTTTTCCCTTTTTCTATTCCAGTGCAATGCACATACAAAAGAAAGTAACGTTGCCGTGAAAATAACAGGCATTAATAGATCTTTGCATTTATCATTTACTCCTATTGTAATAACAAAAAACTTTTATATAACGGCACCTACAAAATTAGAATATATTTTCAGGTTAATCTAGTCTATATTTCTGCTAAAGTCTCCTAAATTATATATAGCCCTCAATGCTGTGTTATCTGCTCCCCAGTCACTCCAATATTTAACCCTCTCTTACATTCCTCCATAACTTACTGCATATGTATGTCTCTTTTCTCTATTAAAGATTGACATGTTTCACTAAAATGAAGTAGCTAAACAGAATAGTATTATTTATCATATCTTCTTATTATGAACTGCAATGTCCTATTAATTCATCTACTGTTGAAAGCAATAATGAGAAAAGCAGATGCAGAATGATCAGTGAGGAAATCTTAAAAATTTATGAAGATCCTGAAAAAACATTTTAAAAGTTTGAGGTAAAATGTGTGTTAAAACGAATCCTGAGGGGAAAAGATCACTTAGATCTATAAAAAAAAAAAACTTTTTAGCTTAGAAAAAAATCTGTGATATATTTATTTTGGCCATTCATTAAAAAAAGTAAGTAATTGAATAGTAAAGATGTGAAAAATAAAACGATTTACTTTATTTTACTGTGGTTCGAAGGCATTCAACACACCCAGCATTGGGGTTCATTGAAATTCAAATAAGAGACAAAGTTGTCCATGTAACTAAAAAAGTGTTGCTAATCCACATAACTAATGAAGAAATAAAAGTATAATTCTGCTTTGCATCTTTGTTGCAATTTTTCTATTTACCTACAAGACAAGAAGCTCCACATGTAGCACAGCTTTTCTTTCATTGGTGATTTTAATCTATATTTAATGTGTATAAAGTTATTGAATCGGACCAGATCCGCATGCGTGCACTTTGGACGTTCTTTAAGTGAATCTGCGGCTGAGGTCGTTGATTCTGCGCAGGGCGTCGTGGTTACTGATGGTCTTATGGACTGTGATGATGAAAGGGAAGGCTGAGGGCAGCTCCACCTTCTTGCTCAGCTTTTGGTGACCCCAGTGGAGGCAGCGCAGCTTCTCTGCAAGGTCACGCCGTCCCGCCCGATCCAATCCATCTTGGAGCACTTTGGTCTTATTGGGTTTGTCCCATGACCTCTCATACCTGGTGATCAATCCAATATTAAGAGTAAGGGAGGGGGATGCAAAATGTAGCATGATTTTTATCCTATACAGGATCCAGTGTTACAAGGTAAAAAATAAAGCTGAAATCTTAATGATTATTTCAGGGTGGTTCATACACCTGCACATAAAATCACACAGAGTACCAGCTTTCCAACATGAGCCTGGTCTGCACGCTCCTCTCTGTCGATCTGGTGTGAAACCGGCCTATTTCAGCTCTGCTGAAACCCAGTTCAGAAGCCAGAACAGTCCACTCAAAACCCAGCTGCCTGGATATCTCCTGCAGCGTCTTTAGGTTGATCACAGCATCCTAATTCAGAAAAAAATAAAAATAAAAATAGAAAAACTTGAAAAAAGCTGTAGCATTCACAGAAGCATGCTGAGCTTGAAACGTACCTCTTGAGCTTTGTTAGGCATTTCCAGAACCGCTCCGGGGCCAGGATTTAATGGTCAAACACATCCGCAGACCTAGTTTTCACGTTTCTTAACAGCAGGAGAATATGTCTGTAGCCTCTATGTGTATAAAACTGTACCAGGCTGAACGTTACTTGGGAGACTTCCCGTGAAAACACAAGCATGTTAAAGATTAGCCAGGTCCGCTCTTCCAGGGTCTGTTCGGTTCAACGCTCTGCCCCATTGCTACAGTGCATATTTAAAGTCTTAAACTCCTCCTTTAGGTCATGCTGCATATATCCTATAAAAACGCCCTCATCATTTAGAAAAAAATATAAAATGTTGACAAAAACCTTTAAACTTTTACTTATTTTTTATTTTTTGGCATTTGTATCCTATATCTAACATCGTCGTTTAAAGGTGAGGGTACGGATGGTATCAGTTTGGATGGGAGGACAAAAGCAGGAGTCTTGGTTGGTTTCTACACGTGACAACAAACAACTACACTCACCGGCCACTTTATTAGGTACAACTGCTCGTTAACACTTAATTTCTAAGCAGCCAATCACATGGCGGCAACTCAGTGCATTAGACATGGTCAAGACAATCTCCTGCAGTTCAAACTGAGCATCAGTATGGGGAAGAAAGGTGATCTGAGTGACTTTAAAAGTGGCATGATTGTTGGTGCCAGAAGGGCTGGTCTGAGTATTTCAGAAACTGCTGATCTACTGGGATTTTCACACACAACCATCTCTAGGGTTTACAGAGAATGGTCCGAAAAAGAAAAAACATCCAGTGAGCGGCAGTTCTGTGGACGGAAATGCCTTGTTGATACTGTACCAGAGGTCAGAGGAGAATGGCCAGACTGGTTTGAGCTGATAGAAGGGCAACAGTGACTCAAATAACCACCCGTTACAACCAAGGTGGGCAGAAGAGCATCTCTGAACGCACAGTACGTCGAACTTTGAGGCAGATGGGCTACAGCAGCAGAAGACCACACCGGGTGCCACTCCTTTCAGCTAAGAAAAGGAAACTGAGGCTACAATTTGCACAAGCTCATCGAAATTGGACAATAGAAGATTGGAAAAACGTTGCCTGGTCTGATGAGTCTCGATTTCTGCTGCGACATTCAGATGGTAGGGTCAGAATTTGGCGTCTACAACATGAAAGCATGGATCCATCCTGCCTTGTATCAACGGTTCAGGCTAGTGGTGGTGGTGTCATGGTGTGGGAAATATTTTCTTGGCACTCTTTGGGCCCCTTGGTACCAATTGAGCATTGTTGCAACGCCACAGCCTACCTGAGTATTGTTGCTGACCATGTCCATCCCTTTCTGACCACAATGTACCCAACTTCTGATGGCTACTTTCAGCAGGATAATGCGCCATGTCATAAAGCTGGAATCATCTCAGACTGGTTTCTTGAACATGACAATGAGTTCACTGTACTCAAATGGCCTCCACAGTCACCAGATCTCAATCCAATAGAGCATCTTTGGGATGTGGTGGAACGGGAGATTCGCATCATGGATGTGCAGCCGACAAATCTGCGGCAACTGTGTGATGCCATCATGTCAATATGGACCAAACTCCCTGAGGAATGCTTCCAGCACCTTGTTGAATCTATGCCACGAAGAATTGAGGCAGTTCTGAAGGCAAAAGGGGGTCCAACCCGTTACTAGCATGGGGTACCTAATAAAGTGGGCGGTGAGTGTATATGCTCCATAAACCTGGACTTTGATATTTATAACAGTTATAACATCCAGGCCAAGCTGCAATCTTCAAGAACCTTGTGGAAGTACGTATTTTGGTCTTATAGCAGTAATTCCCAACCGGGGGACCCGTAGTGGTCTGTGAGTGCATTGCAATGGAGAACTTGAAAATATTTTATTTCTTAGGTTGTAAAATAAAATAGTTTTGCTTTGTGAGGACCCAACTGGAAAATAAAACAAGCTTTTTCTTTCAACCAAAAGGCAAGTTTTTCTTGGAGTTCACCTTCAGCTTTAACACACATTGAACCAAGTAGAGGAACAGACTGGATGCAGAGCGCAGCCTGGGATCAGCTGTTTCCCCACACCTAATCAAAGCAAGCTCAGGTGTCATCCATGTTGAAATCAAATTAAAACAAATGGAGTCAGTCTGAATAATATAATTTTTTTTAAACATTTTCTTTCCAATTCTTCAAATTTATATGTGATTATAGGGGAGTTACTCAGAAGAGCTCTAGTTGTATAAAGGCAGATTTACAATATGCTTTTATTTTGTATTTATTTTGATTCCTTACTAGCTTCTGGGCAACAAATTGATGTTGTTTTTCTACATCAACCTTTGGGCAAACATCAATACTTTTGACTGAGGGGGGTACTCATGGTTAGATAAAATGTCCAAAGTAGTGCACAAGTCAAAAAAGATGGAGAAACTTTATCTTATACAATTAAATGGAGCCTTGAGGCCCAACATGTAAGCCGAAGAAAATACTTAGCTTTGTTAATTCCCTAAACTCCATTTTGCTATATTATCAGATTATTGCTTCACTATTTTGTAATCTTAACTTTGTTCATTGAATACAATATTTTTGCCTTAAAGTTGGGTTTTCTTAACTGGACAAAAAAACAAAGTTTTTTTGTGCTAACCTGAATAGGTCAAATATTCTTTTTAAAAGAACACACAAAAAAATCACCAGCTTTCAAAAATCAATAATGCAAATTTTATTGAATTTAATTGGATTTAAATAAATAAAAAAAACCATATACTAATAGAGTAGAATGTTAGATATTTTGTCATTCAGCAACTGTTTAGATATCAAATCCTAATTTATAAAATTCTTTTTTCAATTTCTGTTTTTTCTTTAGATATTGATGTTTCTGAAATTCATAAGAAAATTGATGTTCTTTGATGCTTTGAATGCATTTTACTCTCATTATTAAAAATAACTGTTTGGGCATTGAGCAGCGATAGAGGCAATATATAAAAAATGAAAACTAAATCTGCACTTTACTTAAGGTTTAAAAGCTTTCAAATCCTCCTTGTTCCTTGTAGTATTATGATAGAGAAGAAGCGGACAAACATGCTTTGAAATCATTAATTTATTTTAAAAATTAAGCCCCTCTTGTTTGTTTGTGATTCATAAAAAGCATGTGCAATATCACTGCAGTGTTTAGGTTTACCAAACAACTTTAAAGACTTAATAACAGAAAATGAAAGAAAACTCGCTTTAATATGAAATCTGAGCACGAATACAAAAGAATGTTACATCTAAATTAAAAACAAATTAGGTGATTTACTTTTACAGGTGAATCATGATTCTCATATAAAGTGCTGCAAAGTCCAGCTGTAAAACAGAACTATCAAGAAAAAAAAAAACACCACTTTTAATTGAACAGGCAGTAATTTCACTCCAGTTTCAGGTTCTGTTTATATATCATAGCATATAATGACAAATTAATAATACTCACCAAAATAAGCACAGAAAAAAATCTGTAAGCTTTAGGCTTAATGTATTAAAGTTATATTATCAACAACTGCAACTCAAAAGAAATGAACAAAGCATGGAGGAGGATTTTTTTTTCTGTTCACATTTAGCATCTTATTGTCAGAGTATTGCCTGTCGTTTTATGGTGTTTAAGCAGGGCGTGTAGATCCAGCCTGCTGGATCCCTAACCCTGTTACATTGCAGATTTTTGTGTTCACGTTAACAGTCACTTTCTGTGGGATCTGGTGGCAGCATCACTTTTAAGCAGTAGGTAACCCTGTGCAGCCCTCAGCCTCCCTCCATCTCAGTCCGTTAGGGGTCAATAGCAGCCGTCCTTCCAGCTGCCGTCCCTCAGGGCACTCAGAGCAGCCAGGCTCTTTGGAGCGGCGAGCAAACTGTGGACAGAAGGAAACAAGTCTATTGAGCATCCAAACTAACATGACATAAAAAAAACATACATAATAACAAGAAAGATGCTTCAAAATATGTACATCTGGCTTATCTAGAGCCAAAGCTAAAAGGTTACATCAAGTTAGTGTTATCAGACAGTTGCTGGAGCTTCTCTTCAAACAGATCAAGTCATGGAGAAGCATAAAAAAAGTGCAGCAGTTTTTAACACAGTTTGATTGCATTGTGGAAATCCTGATGAGATGGACTTTATAATACTTATTCCAACCCCTCCAGCTGGCTCTAAACAGTGCGGAGCTATTTATTTAAAGGACCTATATCATGCAAAATAAACTTTTTTGAGCTTTTAACTATGTTCTAATTCAGTTCCTTCATCAGAATCATGCACAAATGAGGTACTTTGTTTGATAAATGCATCTCTGAGCATCCATCATGAGTTTTTGCTGTCTGAGCAGCAGCCCCTCCCTCACCTGTGAAAATGAGCGGTTCCGAATAACTGCCTCATCTGTGCTGCACCAGCAATGTAAACAAACACCCCCTTTCTCCCATCAGGGAGAAATCATGTGAGGTAGAATGCAATGTTTCCGAGTGGCTCTTTTAGCAGCTAATCAGCACAGATTAGCAGGTTTCTTTTTAAATTAATGTCTAAGTCCTGGACATTTTTCTTTTTTTTTTTTTTATGCCTCTAGTCTCAGATTTTGTTCAGGTTTCCAAAGTGTTTTGATATGAAATGGGTGGTACACAGACGGGGAGAGGCAGCTTCACTTTGAAGCCAATAATTTTTTATCAGGGTTGGAAGAAAATAATAATAAATATAGTTATATATTCGGCAATAACTTACTTTGAAATGGTTAAAAAAAAACAGGATATAAAACTGACACGCTCACAAAGGCTGTAAACGAGCAGGACTGTGAGCTGAGCCGTATGCCGAGTGCAATTGAACGCAAGCTGGCAGCGGTGGTTTTACTGGAAGGTGAAATGGGATAATATCTTGGATTTGCATGCTTGCCTCATGGCGGAAAAGCCAGTCAGATTCAGAATATTGGATTCGCTATTCGGAGCCCAGCGACAAAACAATTCAAGGTTGATGGAAAATTCTGTGCAGCTTGCTCTCAAAACAAAAAAGTGTATTTTGGCTTACAGCCTCCCAATTATCAAAACTCCCCTGGATGTTATGGCAGAATGGCCTAGAACTGCTGCCCCCCCCATAAAACAGCAGGCAGCCCGATAACAATCATCAAACAACCACGCCTGACTTCTGGTTTAGGGGATCCCCTTGTAATGAGGCAATTATTCCTACT